ACTGAAACCCGGCACCTGTTAAACTAACTCTTCATTCTCTGCCACCCGCCTCGAGCCGCCGCTTGCCTTCCCATCCCAGTGAATTTGCTAAGGGTTTCAGGAGTTAGTCAATACATATTTATTCTGTGCAATGGGGCTTCCACCTAGAATAAAACAAGTAGAGCCCCGGCCCAGGAATTACAGTCCAGTGGAGGAGACAGACACCAGGCATGTTAACAAGTAGACAAAGCAGTTCAGGCCCGGACACAAAAAGCTGTGAGGAGCTAGAAAAGCCTGGTGGACACGCAAGCTTCTGCCAGGGCGATCGAGAAAGGCCTCTTCAAGAGCTGGCGTTTGAGGAGAGACAATTCAGGTTGGAAAGGAGGCAAATTCTGTTAAGATCAGGGAGAAGTATTCCAAAGACGGAAAACTACCGGAGCAAAGGGCCTGAGGCAGGTGGAAACTAGGCCCTGTGGAAACCAGTGTGGTGGGAACACAGGTGACAAGGGAAGGCAACGCTGTGCTGTGTGCAGCTGGGAAGTGCATCAGAGAGGGAAGACTGTAGCTGTTGAAGTGTCGTTAGGCAGGCAGGTGACCCAGGCTAGACGTGACGGTGGCTAGGGGTAGAGTGAAACAGAAGTGTCCGGATTCGGGAAACACTTCAGAGGCGTAATGCTTAAATGGACTGGGTCTGAGGCATGTGAGGAGAGGGGCCTTCTGGACTGGAAAGGGAGGCTGTGGCGGTCTTTCCAGGGTGATACGGTCATGGTTTAACTAAGCGTGGGTAACAGAGCTGGAGAGAAGAGCATCAATTCAAGGGTCGCCCATAAGTCTCCTTTTCTTTTCGACCATCCTCCCTGAGGATGCGTCTTGGAGTCTACCCACACCGGCACCATCATTCCCTGGTCATTTATAAATGTCCCTCTGAAAAGCCAAAAGCCAGAGCTGGGCAAAGTCTGGTCAAAACACAGTCTCCTTTTGTTCTCCACATTATCCTTCTATTGAACGTATCTGAGATCGCATAATCCTATTTAGGTAACCATAACAACAGTGGGCTCCCGTCGAGATAGCAATTGATTGAAACCTCTAAGTAAGAGACTGCAAACAAGAATGCCTGCAGGAGCCAGGCAGGTAAATACGAGAAGCCGTGGGGTGCAGCGGGAGGGGGTGGGGATGGTGGTAAACTGCAGACCAATCAAATCTTATTGAACTTCAAATTTTTAGGAAGCCTTGTGCATTTAAAAATGTGGTGTGCAGGCCTCATGCAGCTGGAGACCCACCAATTTGCTGGCTCCGGAGTTCTTTTTATATTTACTCTGCATCCAGCCAGCCGGGTCTTTCCCAACAGTGACCCCAAAGCTGATTTCCCCCCAAGTTTTAACTTAAATGTGTTAACTTGTATCCTATTGGCTTTGGACCCGTGGTTAAATAGTTTCTGCACCTATGTCTACCTGGTGCGTGCTAACCTCACCTAGCAATGTGTAAGCCTTCTGCAAACTTGGGAAGTGAGATTCGGGGCCTCATTCCAAGTCTGGGAGAGACAAACGTAAAGAACAGGCCAGTCCAACGTACCTTAGTGACCCGGGATCATTTAAAACACAACCCTTTTGAAAATGAATGAGCCCAGTGAGCCGACTGTTTCCTGAAGAGTCCCCACACATCCTGGCCACCCTGGATTTACCAAGATTTGGGGAGGCCTTTGCAGGTATATGAGGAATATGAGTTGGGGACTTTCCTCTCTTGTTCAAGCAAATCTCCTTACTGGAGCTTTTGTCCTTATGAGAGAAGGTGTCACTTTACAGATCACTTAGCAAGAATTGTGTCATGAGGAAGTGGATACAGGGCCCCTAGAGACAGAATGTTTCTCTGGAGAAGACTCCGGACCAAGAGGGCGCCACGCCCGAGAAGTCGGGGATACGGGGCTGGAGCGAAGTGTTTCTGAGCAGGCAGGAGGCTTCCCAGCGCACGATGCCTTTTTTTCACCTGCTTGTGGTGTTGGTTGCTGCCCCAGGTTGGTATCTTTAACTCTGGACAACTATCACGTAGCTTTGAAACAGTCATTCGGTTTGCTTTTACCTTCTTTAGAAGCTTCTCAGTGTTGGTCCTGGCCCTTGTCGAGGACGCTGGGCTGGGCCACGTTGGAAAGCCTGCATTTCAATCCAGACGCCCTCTCGGATGCGTTTGATCGGCGAGTAGGCTGGTGCAGTTCCCTGGAGGGCACTTGGGCAGCATCTACCAGTCTCAGAGTCAGCGCTCCACCTCTGGGGACCTAGTCTGTGGAAATACACAGTAACAGAGGATGCATGTAGGCTTGTTTGTAATGGCAAAAACTGGAGGAAGCCTACATGCCCATCAGTACAGGATTAAATAAATGGTCCTACAGACACGCTGTGGACATTGGAGCCATTAGAAGGAGGCAGATCTGCGTGTTCTGATGTGCAGGTAAAAGGTAATCCATGGTGCACTGTGGAGTGGAGACAGGATGTCCTAAAATTCTGAACATAAGAAGATCCCTTAAAAAAGAATCTATCTATATTTACATGCACAGAGGCATAGAAAATTCTGGAAGAATATATGCAAAATATTTCAGTGTAATTTTTGGAGATTGGGAGTGGAGAGGTAGCAAAGCAGCAGAGGTGGGGAGGAATAAGTAGGAGATGTCAAATTTTTTGCTTAATATTGTTTGACTTAAAAAAAATGAGTATATATTACATTAAACTAAAAAATCAAACCCAAGAATTTAAAAATTAATTACCCAAATTTTGAATGCAGAACATCAAGACTGGTTTAAGTGATTTTTTTCTTTACTGTTGCATGGATTGATTTCATAAAATAACTCAATTGATGAATTTAGCCATTTGCTTTAGAACCGTCACCTCTAGAATTAGGTGAAAGCCAAACTGTTGTTATTGCCAACAAAAAGTCATGTAAAATATGTTTAATATTCTAAGATTAAATGATGGGCATCTGAAAACTGAAAAATCTCTCTAATTTCCAAATTCTTAGTTAGGCATGGTTAGATTTGATATTTCCAGTAAAAATAAATGATAATATTTGCAAAAACAAGACCGAACTTCTATAGCTGTGCTGCCCAGTATGGGGCCTGCCGTCCGATCATGATTATACACCACGTGAGTGTGGTCAACTGGAACTGAGATGTGATATAAGTGTAAAACACACACTGGATTTAGAAGATATTGTGTGAATAAAACAATGTAAACTACCTTATTAACATAAACTTCTTATTAAAAATGTTGATCTCATGTTGAAATGATAATATTTTGAATGCATTGGGTTAAATAAAATATAATATTAAAAATTAATTTCACTTAAAAAACTTTTTAAATGTGGTTACTAGAAGATTTAAAATCACATATTGGACAGGGCTATTCTATCATTTTAGATAATCTTTAAACAGAATTTTTCTTGGCACGAAATACTCTACTTGAATCCCCTGCTCCAGTTTTGTATATGCATCTGTCTGTTTGAAATGAAGTAACAGGTGAATTGATCCCATCAACTCAGTGAGTGGGACATTTAGTAAAGTAAGGATATAATGAGATCTAAGAAAGATTTTATTTCAATTTAATTTGTTCTAATTTCATTTTTTCATGGGTGAAGATTTTTATGTTAAACCTGAGCTCTCAATGCATTTGGTAATATCAGATGTTTGGAATAGCAGAATATTTCAGCACAATATCTCCATTTTATGGTCCTCACAAAAATAAGAAGATCTGGCAACTCAGACCACATCCTATGTGGGCAAGTAGTGGTTGCTCCCATTAGGTAGGAACAAGTTTTTGGTTTCACCACAGTCCCCACTACTCCCTAATGTCCTGTACACAGTTATTGGGTATTATTTTACCATCTCCATTAAAGGAGTGCAACTAGTTTTTCAGACTTCCCTTTGTCCTCAGGTACAAAGGTGCAGCCTCTCAATCTCCATTCTCCGGAGCAGATCTCAGTCCATTGGGGTTTTGGCTTTCCGGCAGTTGTTGACAGTTTGGCTCAAATAAACTCACAAAAATTCTTCACAGGTTTGAATGATTTATGTTAACAATCTGAACCAGTGAAACGACGTGTAGTTCCAACTTTTCAAATGCATATAGTGTCACAAAATAAGAAGGTCTTGAGGAATAGGTCAATAGGATGTAATTGATCTCCTTCAGTTAGCAAAAAAGAATAATTTCATTCACTTATTTATTCACCTATTCATTCAACAAATATTTATTAAGTGAATACTGTGGCCAGACATGGTTCTTGGTCCTGGAGATATAGCAGGGACCTCACAGGTGTAAGTTCTCAGTTTCAGGACTTTGTATTTGAGGTGGGAGGAAGGAGGCAGAAAATAAGCATATAAGTAAATAAAATAAAAATAAACAAATAATATAGGACATTTTATAATTTTCACCTGCAGGAGTAGGAGATGTTGTTATTTTATATAAGGGTGGCTTGGGAAGACCCCTCTAACCCAGAGACATCATATCAGAGCCCTAAAGGAAGTGTGCAAATGAGAAATGTGGGTGTCAGGGAGAATGGTAAAGGCAAAGGTCCCGAGGCAAACGTGTGGCTGGAGCAGAGGAAGTGAGCAGGGAATGGACCCAGCAGAACCAGAGGCCTTTCCAAACTTTCATGTTAACCCAAGATAGTTGCCTAATTTCCGATTCTCATTACTCTGAAGGCCACTGCAATCTTTGTGGGGTTTTTTGTACATTGCAAAATATGGTTACACCAGGTCATCTTAGTCTGAATTCTCTTGGAAGTAGAACCCAAGAGAAGGGGTCAAGTACAAGTAATTTACTTGGGAGGTGGTCCCAGGAAACACCGGCAGCCAATGGCGGTGTGTGATCAAGCATGCGAGCACTGAGGGCAACCGGAGCTCAGTCCCACTGGGGCCTCAGGGATCCAGGGTAGACACACATCTTGTCCCCGAGTTACCCACACTCACGGGTGAGTGAGGCGGTTGAGGTCTTTAGCTCCCAGGTCCCTGTTGGTCATCAGTTGAGGGCTGCTCCGGGGACATGAACTCTGTGGCACCCACCCAGGCAGGCGAGTGTGGACTGAATGGGGGCGGGACACTGAGCATTGGCTACATATTTCTAAACAAGTGTGAAAAAAAGAGAAAAAAGACCAACCCCGCCTGAGGCAGTTCTCCACGGGTCTCTTGCTTTTCTGTCCATCTCATGAGTGGGGGCACTGGTTGCCTTCTTCTCGGCTATCTTCTCAAGGATGTCTAAACAGTGATGGAGATAGTGCCTCTATGAGAGAACGGCTTGTTTACCGTGTACTGAAATAAAGCTCCTTTCCCTGCCCAGGGCAAGGATCAGGCAGGCCATGGCTCGCTTAGGAACATTTGGGTTCCCTAAGCTCAGGGCTTCTCAAGTGGGACGTCAGCCCAGGGCGCGCACGGCACCCACCAGGTCCACTCTGCGTGGCTCCCGTGGGCTGGAGGAGCAAAGAGACCCTCTCTGAACATGAAATCATGCTGCCTGTTGTGCCGAGACTCAAAGTCCTGTCTCTGTATTAGGTGGCTCGGGTTGCCATAGCCAAGTGCCAGCAGCTGGGTAGCTTCCATACTAGACATTGATTTTCTCATGGTCCTGGAGGCTGCGACTCTGAAATCAGGGTGTCAGCATGGCCAGGTTCTGGTGCAGGCTCCCCTCCCGGCCTTCTCACTGTCCTCATGGGGCAGAGAATGAGAGAGAGACAGAGACAGAGACAGAG